CAGGAGTTGCTTGTATATTTTTGAGATTAATCCTTTGTCTGTTGCTTCATTTGCTATTATTTTCTCCCAATCTGAGGGCTGTCTTTTCACCTTGCTTATAGTTTCCTTTGTTGTGCAAAAGCTTTTCAGTTTAATTAGGTCCCATTTGTTTACTTTTGCTTTTATTTCCAATATTCTGGGAGGTGGGTCATAGAGGATCCTGCTGTGATTATATTCAGATGCACACAAAGATACCCTGGAGAGGGGCATGGCAACCCACTCCAATATTCTTGCCTGGAGAATCCCCATGGACACTGGTGCCTGGTGGGCCACAGTCCATGGGGTCACACAGAGTCGGACACAACTGAGCAACTAAGCACAGCACAGCACAAGAGTGTGTCACTCCCATTTCCACTGGATTCCTGATACTGTTAATCTTGCCCAAGGAGACACAGCACCATATATCAGATGCTGGCTTAGAGCAGAGGGAAAATGGCCACAACCTGGCTAAGGACTGACACCTTGGAAACTCACTGAAACTGAGTTTTCCAATGGCTCAGCCACTGTTCTATCAATCAAACTGCTTCAGGTTGCTGGGGCCTATATTTTCATTGCTGCTGCTGCTAAGTCACTTCAGTCGTGTCCGACTCTGTGCGATCCCATAGACGGCAGCCCACCAGGCTCCCCCGTCCCTGGGATTCTCCAGGCAAGAACACTGGAGTGGGTTGCCATTTCCTTCTCCAATATGTGAAAGTGAAAAGTGAAAGTGAAGTCGCTCAGTCGTGTCCGACTCCCAGCAGCCCCATGGACTGCAGCCCACCAGGCTCCTCCATCCATGGGATTTTCCAGGCAAGAGTACTGGAGTAGGGTGCCATTGCCTTCTCCGATATTCACTAGTGAATTCCAAAATTCACTAGGCTACTACTGCATTTCTTTTGCTGTGACATGAGTTCCTCGATCAGAAGCATTGCCCTGTGGATTACCACCATGTGGATAGGTCCACAGAGGGTTGTTTTGGCAGCTGCATTGTGCAGGGAAAGCACATCCATGACTGAGGTGTCAGAGGAATCACCTCCCATCAGGGGGCGGGGCCTCACACTGGGATTGTGCCACACCAGAGACTCAGCTGGTCTCTGCTGCCAGCAGATAGGACACTCAGCAGTGGCCTAGGGGATAGGCTTTGTGGAGTGGAAGTCATATTTCTAAGCCCATAAATAACTTCCGTTCTGATCACCATGGCCCATTTGTACGTGAACCCACCAGGACATAACATCAGTGGCTGGGGACAATCTGACTGTATCCACCAAACACATCATCTTACCCACTTGACTTTTAAATGTGCCTCTGCTGATATCAATCTTTGGTGAGGATCACCTTTTTTGCTCATCAGAGAGATCTATCCACATACATCTTTCCATCTCCTTGTGGCCAATTTTCCAACCATTTTCATTCCAATTCTTGGACCCCATTCTTTCCAACTTTAACTGCAGACATCCTGGTGTGGTTGAAAACATAATTTTCACTGTAATCCAGCTACTGGTAGAATGAAACTCTGGGTTTCCTTTTCAGTGATCTCAGCTCAGTGGGTACGGGAGACAAGGATTTTATTCAGGGTCAGCAGGGAAATTTTAAGGGCATTTGCGCAGCATCTGAACTGTTTGAATTCCCGAGCTCATCTCATTTTTTCTTCACTTTGTCTCTTGCAATGAGGATCAACCAGTTCACCCAATCCTACTCATTAGTTTCACAAAAATGCTCTAAGATATCAAATACTTGTCTTCTATAAGTACAATTGGAGGTAACAAATGTTGATATTTTATGTCTTTATCGTCACAGCATGCCATGGACTATTAGTGTCATCTCTCCTCTGGGCAGTAGATGCATTACTGCTGTTAGAAATGTCAGATTTGAGGAGACTTCCCTGGTAGTTCACTGGTTAAGATTTTGCCTTCCAATCCCGGGGGTGTGGGTTTGAGCCTCAGTTGAGGAGCTAAGATCCCACATACCTTGTGACCAAAAAACCAAAATGTAAAACAGAAGAAATATTGTAGAAAACTCCATAAAGACTTTAAAAATGGTCCACATCAAGAAAATATTTAAAAAAAAAAAGATTTGAAAATAAATTCCAGAAATTCCAGAACCAATTTTGAAAAGTTATCCTAAAAGTTTTCTTCCTTTAGGATCTCTCATTACCAAAGTCTGTATAAAGAATTAAGAGTTCTTTTTAGAGGAATAGAAGCATATTCTAAATTAGTATAATACACACACACATACACACACAGAGAGAGAGAGAGAGAGAGAGACAGAGGGACAAACATACATGGAGAGGTTAAGATTTGTTTTAAGGAATTGACTCATGTGATTGTGAGACTGGCAAGTCTGAAACCTGCAGGGCAGGTAGCGGCCTGGAAACCTAGAAAGGGTGTGTGTGTCGCAGTTTTGAATTTGAAGGCTGTCTGGAGGTAGAGTTCCTTCTTTCTGGAAGGAACTCAGTGTTTTCTCTTAAAACCTTCCACAGATTGGATGGACACCCACCTTACAGAAGGCACTTTGCTTTGTTCAAAGTCTGTGATTAAATCGTAATCATATCTTTAAGATGCCTTCAGAGAAACATCTAGGTTGACAACTTGACCAGTCACTTGAGTACTGTAGTCTAGCCAAGCTGACACAAAATTAACCACCACACAAAATATTTAAGATGAACTTGGATATTAAGTTCAGGAGATTCCCAAACCAACTATGGAAGATCCACCTGATTTCCTCTTGCTGCCTATAGTAAAATACATGCGGTAAGATGTAAATTGAAGGATAAACTGTCAAGCCAAAAGAAACCAGCATGAGATGATTTGACATTTCTCAGCCTATCCACAGAGTGTACTCACCAATCAAGCCCAGAGTGAAGCTGGCCAGTCCTTGGCTTAAAAGGTTAGGCACATGACTTGAGATTCAAAAGTCTGTCTCAGCCTAAGCCAGAAATAGAGATGCTATTATCCAGGAAAGATCTGTGATGTGCCTGCATAGCTGAGAACTTGCACCTGTTATTGCGCAAGAGACTGACAAAAGTTTTGAGAATGTTATCCTACTGGACATGCTTCCAGCCTGAACTGAAAGTAACAGGCATCATGCAAATAAAGGAAGAACGTCTTCCAAGATAGAGCCCTGCACCCAGAAGTCTGGGCCAACAGGGCCTCTTCCAGTTGAGAAAGTAGGCTCACCTGCCTGGTGGTCCAAAAAGCTAGGGCTGCCCCCCAGTGGCCCAAAGACAGAACATCAGCTTCACCGTTGAGTGTTCTCTGTTCTCGGAACCTAATGACAATTCTCCTGATGGGTTTTGAGTCTGTGATGTGTTACCCTTTATTCAAAATTTTTCTGTTTGTCCATTCTTGAATGGCAATATCTATCCTATGTCTGTTTTAATTTTGGAAACACATTACTTATTTTCTGGGTTCACAGAGTCACACATGAATAGAAATTTTGCCCAAGGGTGGACCTGTAACTGAGTCTCACTCATAACTTATTTAGAAGATATTTAAGTAAAATTTGGGCCTTAGAGTTGATGCTGGAATGGATTAAAACTTTGAGGGCTGTTGGAAATGGGTGAATATATTTTACATATGGGAAAGGTAGGAATTTGTGTGCCATAATGTGAACTGTTATGTCATGATTTTTAGAAACGAAAAATGTTTATATCAACTGATTGAAGCTAACTATGCTGTTTATAATATATGAACATAAAAATCACATTTTAGATTTTTGTGGTTTAATGTTTCAAAAACTATATACCAGCAAAATCATGAAAATGTTATTAGATCTGAAGATGATTACAAAAGAGGGCTCTAGAATTCCCAACACATGTTATCTTACTTTGTATGTGTGTTCAGTTGCTCAGTCATGTCTGACTCTTTGGGACCCCATGGACTTTGATATTATTTTGAAGATACCAACAAGAATTCCTTTCCTTTTTCTTCTGAAAGTCTCAGAAAACCTCAGAAGTTATGGAGAAATCTTTGAGAAAGTTAGGAAACTGATCGATAGAAGAGGCACTGAAGTGATTGCATTAATTTACTCAGGTATTTTATCAACAGGACACACAGCACTTGGTTTGCCAAGTTTAATGAGGTGCTTTAAAGAAGTGATTCATTAGTCTTCCTGATTATAATTTCATAGTCCCCATAACATCTGATTTATGAATCAAAATGATTTAAACAATACTTGATAAAATAAACTGAGAATTGGATTAATAATGAAAAATTCTCAATACATGTACATACAACTGCATTTAACCAGTATTTTGTCCACAATGAGGATACACCACTTTTCCTTCCTGACAAACTGTTCGAAATGTATGATCTGGTGTCACTGGATGATATCCACTTTTACATATAAATTCAATATGATCCTGTGTTTTAGAGTAAAGTTTTTTTGGAGTTGTCCATTTTAACTGTATGTTATGTTTTTTCATCATTTCTTCTGAAATTTCACAGACCTCTGAAGATAAAAATATAAACATAAAACATTATATAGTGAGCAAATATTTTCCACAGAATTTCAAGCTTTCAAGTAGAATCTTCTACTCTAGTCCAAAAATTCCTTCTCAAAACCTTTCCCAAACCAACTCATTGAAAATCTATTATGCAGGTTTCATCATTTTAAATGTAAGAATGAGGTACTATATTTAATGTAATAATTAAATGGTATAATCATAGACTTACAATGTCAATTACCTTATGAAAAATTTCATTAAGGAACCTCTTGTTGCTATTGTTCCTGACCAGAAAATTTTCAAACTTTATTTCGACACACAGTAATATTTGGTAATCAAGCATGCAACAGAATGGTTTGTTAATCCATGAAAGCTCTATTATAAACAGCTAAGCCTCATGCTCAGTACAAGGATTTCCCTAGGATCCATGAGAAGACTGAAGCATTTGCCTAAGCACTTTGGTGGTTCAGATCACTCTCCATTCTGACACACACTTGTTTCTGTTTCCCTAAAGTTCACAGTAGGCCTGGCACTGATACTCCACGACTGACCTCAGAGGATATAGAGGTGTGAGGAGTGAGGTAATTTCTCCATTGTCTGTTAGTAGAGGAGGCCCATACTTTCCTTGCGAGTCTAAAAAATATGTTGTTTGATTTATTGAAAAACTATCACGCCCTACAGTTTAAAATAAAGGAAAAAAATGTAGCCTACTATGTAATATCAAGACTTGTGACTTCTGATGACAGAAATGACTTATTGAAGAAAATCCAATCACTTAACAGGAAAGGCACATTTTTATGCTTTACTTTTACCCCACTTGAAAGCACACATAATACATTCACAAATATGTCTTCTGTGCAGGGTTCTGGTATTAAAATATGTTTTCTTAGTGAATATAGGCAGATGGATACTGAAGAGAAATAAAACATTTCTTTCATCCTTATGTGCAATATACTGCAGTGTCTTGAATCTCTAGTCATTTTAATTGATTTTCAAATTTGTTACAAAAGAAACATTAGCTCTGTCGACTCCTTAAATAAAATTCAAATAATTACAGATTTGAATAGTGGACTTCCTTTCTTGGACAAGCTGAGATGCTTATTACATTTGTGAAGTATTCCTTCTGCTAATTAAAAATCTTGACATATTATAAAAACCAACACAGGAGATTATGAAAGATGTAGAGAAGATGTCAATCTGATTAGAGACCTTGGGATTCAAGAAATTGCACTGCAGACAGTGTCTTGGGTTTTAATTTGCTTTCTGTGTATCTTGGTCAAGTCACTGACATGATAACCTAGAAATGATAACAAGTTCAAGCAAAAAAAAAAAAAAACAATAAATACTTGATCTTTTTCATCAGAGACCCAGGAAAGTGGTGTGTGTATGCCTGCTAAGTCACTTCAATCGTATCCAGCTCTGCGATCCCATGGACTGTAGCCCGCCAGGCTCCCCTGTCCTTGGGATTCTCCAGGGAAGAGTACTGGAGTGGGTTGCCACTCCCTCCTCCAGTGGATCTTCCTCCAGGGATCAATCCTACATCTCCTGTAGCTCCTACATTGTAGGCGGATTCTTTACTGCTGAGTCATTGGGGAAGCCCAGAAAGGGAGCAGGCTAGCAAGACAAAGGATTTTTATAATACCGACTTACTTCAGAAATACACCATAATGGAAACCTGAGACTAACTCTTTCCCTGCCTTGATCAGCAGGGGCCAAGTGAGGAGCCCAGACTTCCACTGGCATGGTTGGGAAGCAAGATCCCTCTGCCCTTTCTCCTTGAGTCAGTGGAGGCAGGTGGGAACCCCGGACTTGCACCCTGCATGGCAGTAATGGAGGCCTGATAAAGATTCCAATAAAATCTAGGGTCTCAAAAATCATAATACCCCAAAAGTCTAGAATACAAATCATTCATAATACCAAGGACCTCAAAGAAAGCCTCAAAAGAAAAAAAAAAAAATCCACAGAAGACAACACTGAGATGACATAGATATTAAAATGATTGGTAAATGGTTTTTCTTAATGGAATTGAATTTATAGAACTAAAAAATGGACTAATATAATTTTAAAAACACATTAGATAGGCTCAATAATACACTGCAGATGACAGAAGGATAAATAAGCTTAGCTACAGTCTAACTTTGAATAGAGACTGAAAAAAAAAATGGACAGAGCTTCAGGCACCCATAGGAAGATAGTAAAAGATTGTAGACCCCGAAGGTAAAAAGAAAGGGGATTGAGATGAAAAAATAACTATAATGACAGAATATTTCCCAAATAGGGCACAAGGGACAAATCTATATATTAAAACATCTGAAGAATTCCAAACAGTATAAACCCATAGAAATTAATGTCAAGATACATCAAAACTAAATTGCTGGAAACCAAAGGAAAAAACCTCAAAAGCAGCTAGATAGATATTATGCAATACTTATATGGAAAAAGGATCCAAACATCAGTAGGGTTCTCATCCATGACAATAGAGCCAGGAAAAATTGACATCATTTTTCCAATCCTGGAAGAAAAAAATTGTCAACCCCAAATTCTATATCCAGTGATACCATCCTATAGGATTAAAGGGAGAAAGAAAGACATTCCCAGACAAAGGGAAACAGAATTTGTCCCAGCAGACCTACTTAAAGAATTGCTAAGGGAATTCTTAAGATAGAAAGGAAAATAGAAAAGGGATTGAGACTTTAGGAAGGAAGGAAAAATAATAGAATTGATTTTTGAAAATTCAGGGGTAAATATAATAGACTGTCTTTCCCCTAATGATTTTATTAGATCATGGTCATGCAAAATTATGTCATTTGATATTTTGCTCAGTGTATGTTGAGGGAATACTTAGAATTTATGTTAAAATGTGGGGAGGGTAAATAAATCTAAAGGGAAGTAAGATTTCCACATTTCACCTGAGGTGATAGAATGTCAGCAACAGTCGGGAGTGATAAACTACCTATGTGTACCTTAACACCTAGAGCAACTACTAATAAAGCCCTGCAGAGAAAGCATAGACTCGAAAGCAATGCAGATGTATCACAGTTAAATTATTTTATAGTGTTCAAAACCCCACAGTGAAGAAAAGGAAATGGAGGTGAGAAACAGAGGAAACACACACAAAATGAATAGTGAAATGGCAGACACTGTCCCTAAGAGTAGTTACTTTAAATGCAAATGGTCTGAATACTTCAGTCTAAAGACAGAATGGCTGGTGAACACAAAAACTGTATGCTGAGCTGAATGCTGTTTTAAACATGGAAACATATTCAAATAGAATTTGCTAAAAACTCACACCAGGCAAAAATTAACTTGATAAACTAGAAGACTCTTGAGAGTCCCCTGGACAGCAAGGAGATTAAACCAGTCAATCTTAAGGAAAATCAACCCTGAATGTTCATCGGAAGCACTGATGCTGAAGCTAAAGCTCCCATACTTTGGCCACCTGATGGGAAGAGCTGACTCATCGGAAAAGACTGTAAGGCTGGGAAAGATTGAGGACAGGAGGAGAAGGGGGGCAACAGAAGATAAGATGGTTGGATGACATCACCGACTCAACAGAGATGAGTCTGAGCAAACTCTGGGAGACAGTGAAGGACAGGGAATCCTGGTGTACTGCGGTCCATGGGGCTGCAAAGAGTCGGACATGACTTAGGGACTGAACAACTATTTCTTGTTTAGATTCCCTTCCTTTCTGAACTCAACACTGAAGCATCCCAAGACCAAGTTTCAGACACTTTTTTTTTTTATGTGTACACTAATTCCCTGAATGAGTTCAACTAATTCATACCTTTAAATATCACCCATATGTGAAGATGCCCAAAAGACGCCACATTCTGTTACCAGGCCCCAGTTGCCTATTCCATGTCTCAAAGTGAAATTCCTTGGGCTGTCAAATGTACTGATGGTATCTTTAACACATTTATTCTTCAAGAAATAACTGTCTTAATATTTAAGACAGGAAATGTTCCATGATTCCAACCATTCAAATCTGGTCAACAATTTCATAAAATATATATGTGAGATATTTATTAATTCCACAAAATAACTGGATGTTAAGCACGATCATTTTCTTTTCATCAAAAACTTATTCCCTAAGAACTTCTTCAATATCTATTTCTATCAGCATGTTGTATTCCTAATACTTTCTCTTAAATCGGGGAGTGGGTAGACAAGATACTCTACCTTTGCACTGAGGTGGTTTTGTCCAAGTTCCATTTAAACATGTCACATCTACATCCCCTAAAATGTCATAAGTCCCGATGCATTCATAACGTACTCTCTCACCATTTAGATACCTAGGTCTGTCATTTCGTATAACTGCATTTTCCACTCTGGGTGGGTTCACACAGGAAACATCTGAAAAAAAGAAAAAAAGTATTTCTAATATAATGATCCTAATGAACAATAAGCCAATGAGTGAATGTCAAATATATTCCATGGTTACTTAAATTCAGTAGATAATCTGTCATGAAAGACTGCTAAATTCAATAAGTTTACATATAAGATTAAGGAAAAGGAGATAAAGCAATATTTTTCAGTGCAAATTAAGCTTTTTAACCTTAAATCTCTGCCTCAGCCTTCACTAGCAGGTTGATACATGATTTCAGGCCAGTGAAAATGAGAGCTTTTCTGGACAACTCTTTCTGAGTTTAGTAAAATCAGTGTTATATAAATTCACAATGAATTTATAAGCCATAAGAAAGTCATAATAATAAGATCATATGGATTTGATTTAAATCATCAGGATTTGGTTTACAGTCATTCTGTTTATTAACTGTAACTTAAGACACCTAGAAAAATAAACGCAGTAGATACATCTTTAGAAACTTGATCAAGAATTAGCACACTTTGAAGAATACCGTTGTTGAAGGAAGATGATTAATTAAAAGATCCAACCATATCTGGGAAACAAAACTATTCTTTGGTGATATGTTTTGGAAAATGCTTAAGGGCACCATAGTGAGTGATGGGTCATCCCTCAGTGAGATCCAGGGGGTGTAAGGTACGAGAGGCCGTAGCCTTGACTCCTAAACTGAAATGTGCCCAGAATCCCTTGGGATTCCTTAAAACCGTGTCAGAGTTGCAGCCCCAGAGGTTTTGATTCAACAGGTCTGAGTGAGCCTGTGAATCTGCTTGCATATCTAAGAGTTTTCTAGAATATGCTGAGATTGCTGTGCTAGGGATGTGCTTTTAGAATTATTGGGCTACAATGCTAAATGCTGAGAACACAGTCCCATCTCTTTTTTATGTTGAGACAAACTTTTTTGACCTGTATGCGGGTCAAGGAGCAACAGTTAGAACTTGACATGGAACAATTGTCTGGTTCAGAATTGGGAAGGGTGCACGACAAGGCTGTATATCATCACCCTGCTTGTTTAACTTCTGTGCAGAGTACATCATGTGAAATGCTAGGCTGGCTGAATCACAAGCTGGAATCAAGATTTATGGGAATAATATCAACAACCTCAGATATGCAGATGATACCACTCTAATGGCTGAGAGTAAAGAGGAACTGAAGAGTCTCGAGAGTGAAAGAGAAGAGTGAAAAAGCTGGCTTGAAACTCAGTGTTCAAAAAACTAAGGTTGTGGCATCCAGTCCCATCCCTTCATGGCAAATAGAAGGGGAAAAAGTGGAAGAAGTGACTGATTTTATTTCCTTGGGCTCCAAAATGAATGTGGATGGTGAGTGCAGCCATGAAATTAACAGGCGCTTGCTCCTTGGGAGGAAAGCTGTATCAAACCTAGACAGCGTATTAAAAAGTAGAGACATCACTTTGCCTACAGAGGGCAGTATAGTCAAAGCTATGTTTTTTTCCAGTAGTCATGTATGGATGGGTGAGTTACATCATAAAGAAGGCCAAGTGCTGAAAAATTGATGGTTTTAAGCTGTGGTGCTGTTGAGAGTCCCTTGGACGGCAAGGAGATCAAACCAGTCAACTGTAAAGGAAATCAACCCTGAATATTCACTGGAAGGACTGATGCTGAAGCTGAACCTCTAATACTTTGGCCACCTGATGCGAAGGGCCAACTCACTGGAAAAGACCCTGATGCTGGAAAGAGTATTGAAGGCAGGAGAAGGGGGTGACAGACGATGAGATGGACTCAGTGGCTGTGAGTCTGAGCAAACTCTGGGAGATAGTGAAGGACAGGGAAGCCTGGTGTGCTGTAGTCCATGGAGTTGCAAGAGTCAGACACGACTTATCGACTGAACAACAATAAGAACAATGAATAATCTATGACCATTTAATGATGGTGAATATTATATTACTTAAGATACTTTAATAATAAAATTTAAAAATTTTACCAAAGTACCTTTGCACACTGGCCTTCCTATCCATTTGCTCTTAACACACTGTATAGTGTTGGATCCATTCAGCTGATAATATGATCGACATTTAAAAGCCACTTGTTCTCCTGATCTATATGATTTCTTCTTCTGGCCTATGAATACAGCATCATCAAAGCTGGGCAAGTTAAAACAATCTGTGCCTGAAAAAAAAGGAATATATGTTAGTTTAGTCCATCTTTAAAAATACATAGTGACCAATGATTATATTCCAGAAAAATAGATAGGTACATATCAAACCAATGAATATTGTACAGATTTCTCTTATAACTCAAAACAAATGTCAGACATCTTGACCTTGTCACATTGTGTCTCTATATTTATCAGAAGTACAACATGGGAATGGTGATATTCAAAGAGATAGGGCTGCATGTGATGCTTGAGAGCATACTTCTCACGTTTAAATTCTTTTTCCCCATTGCAGGCCACCTACATTATAAATGTGTTTCTGTTTCTTCTATCGAAATCTGTTACCTTGAATTATGTCACATGTCTTAGAAATTATATTATAAAGAAATGATTGATAAATTAACAGTAAATTGTGTAGTGATAAGACTGATGAGCAGAGGTCAACTGTGATACAGTCATGTGGCACAAAGACCAGAAATCTGAGAATGTTTATCAGAGGATGTTCAAACTGCACCCAAGTTGATGTGAAAATGAGATAATTTAGCTCCTGTTTTCAAACTTTTGTTATTACTAGGATTGTTAATTCTCTACTAGAATTCAGAACTTTGACAAGATGCCTTGTAAAGTTCTAGAATTACTGCTTAATTTCATATTTGTACCATTTATGCTCTTAATTAAAGTTATTTGTCAGCATTCGAATAAAATGAAATGCACTATACTTATGCATTTTGGTGTACGGGACCATTTTCCTCCTAAACATCTTATAGATGCAAATCCATAAATCCTAAATCCTTCGTTACAGGTGTATGTGACTTTTTCTCCGTATTGATAACTGTCTTTCTTGTGACGTACAACACCATTCTGAATTGAAGGTGGAAGTCCACAGGGAAGTCCTAGGAACAAATTAAAGAAAGATTTTATGTTTCACTAACTCTGAAATTTAACTTATGTACTGCTTGTCATATTTGATAGTTTAACTGAAAGTAATAAATGATTTTACAGGAGCTTTCATGATATCACAGAGAAGTGCACACATGTGTCCTAATATCACCATTCTGATGTGTGTCCAGCTGCCCACATAAGCAAGAACTTGAAACCAAAAGTACCAATATATGAAAGAGACTTATCTGTGCTCTCTAACCAATCATGAGTAATTAAAGGAAAGCAGACTGAGATTTTATCATCTTAGAAGAAGTGCTATATATTGTAAGATATTAAAAGCGACATTGTAGGAAGGACAAAGGACATTTTTTGGAAAAAACTCGGTGACAGTGGAAACACTGCAACTTCTATGAATAGTTGGACTCTGAATACGTTTACTGATATGAATAGGAAGGTTTAATTTTGTTGTACATCCAGCGTCAACACACAAAAAAATTGCCAAAATTAAAAGTGATTCCATATGGAACCAAAGCAATTAAGAAAAAGAATGATTTGAACATGCAAAAGTTAATTAAATTCATCACCCTATGCAAGATTATGAAACAACCATTGTTTCCCAAAGTTCCTTCAAATTACAAACAAGAATCCCCCAAACATGTTCAAGTCATACTCTAGCTTTTCTGTGTCATATTTTCTATTCACATTTTCATGAGCATATTCACATGACCTCATAAGCAATATTCAGTGGCCTTTCACACTGTGGTACTCAGAACATAGAAAACAATTCATTTTATTTCCCCCTTAGGTGAACATGTTAATTTTTTTCATTAAGGTATTATTTATAGGTATCTCACCTTGCAGGCTATTTCTTTCTACCAGGAGAGTCAATCAAAAATATATGCACATGAAAGTAGATAAAATTATATTTAGGAGGAAGGCTGAGTGTTTGAATTAATTTCATCTTACCCTGTCCTTAAGCAGTGGAAATCCACAAGGTGAGAAGGACATTGATTAGTAACAGCATGCTAGATTTTCTTGATGGTACAGTCACACAAATATTCCAGTTGCGCCATTTGAGGTTTAAAATCTGCCTCATTTGCAGTTCCCAAATGTGACTCCGAAATTAAGTGTATTACAGTGAAGCTGGTTAATGTGTCATTTAGTAAATATCAAAGTTCAATGTCTTACACTATCCCTAAATGTTTTCTGTTGGTAGTTTCATGGTAAGTTATTTTTTTCATCACCTGACAAGTATGTCCATAGCTTTATGTGGAACCAGGTATGAACTGGCTCCAGAAGTAATATAAAATACTAATTTTCAATTAAACATCTCAAGATAGTAGGTGAAGTTCTTTCTGCCTGTTGAATCATCTGTATTTTCATGGGCTATGAAAACTGATAAATTTTTTAAAATTACAGTAGATCTTAATATGTACTACACAGGTTATGGGGTGTTAAACGTGGCGATAGTGTTAAAGAATCCACCTGCCAGTGCTGGAGATGTGGGTTTGATCCCTGGTTTGGGAAGATCCCTTGAAGAAAGGCATGGCAGCCCACTCCAGCATTCCTGCTTCGAGAATCCCATGGACTGAGGAGCCTGGCGGGCTACAGTCCACGGAGTCGCAAAGAGTCGGACACAACTGAAGTGACCGATCACATACAGTGTAATGATTTGACTTATATATATATATGTCAAATATATATATATATATATAAGTCAAATCACATATATATATATGATATATTTACAGCAGTAAGTTTAGTGAATATCCATCATTTCATTTTTTGATATCAGTTACTGTATAATTATTATGTTCTTCTGTTTGTGTTATAGTCCTTGATTTTTGTGTTCCTTATAGTCTCATGTTTGTGTTGCATTTAAAGCAGCAGTCTCTTCCTTTAGTCTTTACAGACTTGTCTTGAGGTGAGAAGTTCAGTCTGTCACCGATAGGATTTTGAGGCTTTCCCAGACCTCTTTAAGGATACAGCTGGCCACAGATCTCAGTTCCTCTCAGGAGAGATTTTTGAAGCCCGTATGCTTCTCTCAACCTAGCAAAGCCAGTCTCTGTGCAGACGGCTTCCTGGCTGCTTCCCTGGGGCAATGCTGAATACTGTTTGTGTGCTTTCTCACAGTCCCACGGGGTCAGACTGGCTTCTGGATGTCTCTCAGATCAAAGGCTTGGATCACCACCGTGAGGACCTACACAGGGAGCGGGCCCTGGGGCAGGGGCATGTGGATATGCTGCTGCGCCCGAGGGTGAGCAGGACCCACAAGCAAGCTGTCTGCAACGCCTAGAGGGCGGGCTTCCTGGTAGTGTCTCCAACGTGGTCAGGAGGAGTCACGTCCCTCAGTGAGTTCTAGCTCTGGACGCTGTAACAGCTGGCCTCTCCCCACCCCTCAGCCATGCAGGTGACCCCAGTGTCCTGGACAAGGGGAGAGAGAAGGGCGCCTTCTCATCAGTGTTGGACGCTGAGGAAGCCACCCTTGGTCAGATGCTCTTATTCCCGCCCGCCCAGGTAACATCCTGTGCTGAGGGGTCTCTCTGGCACTAAGCTGTACCACTTTAGGGGATGGTGATGCACATAAAGTGAGGCTGTTCCTCTAACCCTCTGTGATGTGCCAGGTCTTGAATATTTGCTGTAATTTCTCTGCTAGACTCCTTGCCTCCCACAAAGATACTGTCATTCGTGGGTGACGGTCAAAAGTCCGTGTTTGTATCAGAGACAGTAAAACTCCTGTTCTGCCATCTTTCTAACTTCACTCTGTCATTACAGGTTTCTTCTTTGTGGTTCTTTTCATTTTCTTGACTAATGTCCATCAATAGGCACATTTATTTTGTTATACACTTATCTAGGAATCTGTACACTCACACACGCTTGTTAAAGAATAAAATTAAATAGGTCCTTTGACAAAATAAGAGGCTGATCTAAACATTTTGCAGTGGATGATACAGCTGAGTCTTAGAAACTTATGAACATACTGGGGTCTCAGCCCAGTTTACTCACCGACGCGGACGCATATTGGGGGAGGGTACCATCCCTTCTCTGTGCAAGTCATTGTGTTCTGATTATTGTGAAGACTATAGCCATCATGGCAGCGGACTCTTACAGTTTTACCTTGTAAATACTTTTCTTGGGAATTTGTGTAATATCCATTTTCCAAATAATTGAAAGTACATTGTCCTAAGGATCATAAAAACAATAGAATAGAAAAATAACATATTTGGTAAAAGAGCACAGTAAAAATTAACTTTACCTGATAATGCATTAGTATTCTAAAATAACATATAACTTAATAAAAATGAAAGTTACTACCACTTTTGTTTAAAAGGAAAAAAAAGGAATACTCCATGTCATTTATTTTTAGTTTTTATAATTAAAATACGTATAGATGATGCAGATATTCTTGTAAGGTCTCTGTTCTCCTGTGATTTCCATGAAGAGCTCCTCATGAAAGGAAGACCTATTTGGATCTTTTAGTGAATTTGTCCCTCAGCCTTCCTGTTGTATACAAGACCTAATTGTACTCACTTCCTAGTGAGGACTAGTGTCTCTTCACACTTTGAAAGATTTATACACATAAACTTAAAGAGGTTTACTTACTGAGGCAGGGCACTTCTGGAGACCATCCTTTCAGGGTGCAAGTCATGTAGTCCCAGGAACTTTGTGAAGGAGTCACAAAATACCGTTTACAGCGATAGGAAAACTGTTGACCTACACTTGCTGGAAAGTAGCCTTTAAATGCATAATATAACCTTCCATGTTTTATTACTGGAAAATCACAAGATTTCACTTGAAATGAAAAAAAAGTATAAATATTATTTTATCTTAATAATCAAATTAAAATGGTTTCATCTATTAATTATATTCTCTTACTAGCATAATTACACTCCTTGCGCTAGGGATTGCACTTGATTTTGCACAAGTGCAAAATCCCTCATACTTGTCCTAGGGATTCTAGGACAAGAAAATTTATAAAAACTTCAGATGACTAATATATGTAGAGATCCACGCTAATGTAGCTGCTATTTCAGGGTCTGGCTTCTCCTTGCCTGCCTCTGGGAGGTCCAGCATTTCCAGTTTCCTGGGATTACAAAGGATGAAGTAGCAAGTTATGAATGGCTGTGCCAGCACTTCTCACAGGTCATTTCCCAGCTACATGTGGAGTGAGCAGCTCCCAGTTTCTTCATGGAAGAGTCACACCACACATCTAGACCCTCATCTTCTTCAGCTGCTGCCCGAGCAATTGGCTTCTAACGAACCCATCCCTGAGAGCTGATGAAGCCGTTTGCTCGGTACCTGGGGACTCCAGAGAGCTGAATCATGGTTTTGGAGAGCACAAGGTTTGAAGGAGCATGCATGCATTTGCACAGCTCCTCTCCCCAGCTCAGTGCAGAGTGAATGAAATGATAACCTCCAGTTCCCAGGTTTACCAACTAGTCTGGCTTCTAGCTCACCTCTCTTAGGACACTAATGGGAGTTGGCATACTCTAGACCCCTGAAAGGTGTTAAAAACAAAGACAGTGGTTTGGATGAGCATAGAGGTTAGAGAGGCACCCAGAATCTCTGGCTAGGCTGATTGATGAAAGGGTTCTACTTCCGAGGCAGGTCTGTGAAGACTAGGAAAAGTGGACGTTTAATATAGTGCACAGATATCAACACAGAAAGTCAAGAAAAATGATAAAATGAGAAATATTTTCAAATCAGAAGAATAAGACATCCATTATTTTTGCTTATAACCCAACAACAGAAATTAGACATCCATGCACAGAGAAACCTGCCTTGGAAGGAGGTGTCTGACTCAACACCCTATGCCAAGAGACCCAGAAGGGGTCTCGCCCACACATGCATGAGGTAAAGGCAGACAGACCTCTGTCCCAACTGTGGTGCCTGCAGTGGCTCATGAACCAGCTTTCACCCTCTCAGCCACAGTCCAAGAGCCCCTGTAAACACTATCTTAGAAAATCAAGCATGGAGCTAAGTCCTTATGTGAAAGGTGGGAATACCAGAC